TGTGGCCATTTGCAACAACAGCAGTGGCAGCATGGCTGGGAGGTGCCAATGTGTGTGTGTGGGGGGATGGGGAGGACTCTGCTGGTGACTGTACATGCACTGCTGCCAGTGGTGGTATTAGCATGGGGGCCGGATGCTGTTGAGCACAGGACTGTGTGCCCTCTGTGCACGTTTACACCAGCAGTGGTGGTTACTCAGGGTATGTCCACTGTTTTCTGGGCTTAGTTTTGCACCAGTGGCAGTGACAGTGCAGGGACAAGGCACTAGTGGGGCATGGCTGGCAGGGTCTGTGCCTGCCAACACTGACAGCAGCGGCAATGTGATGGGTAAAGGGGCAGGGTGCACTCACGCCAGCAGCAGTGGCATGACAGGGTGCACATGCACATGCCTGCTGGTGGGGAAGAGGAGGCGAGGTCTGCTGATGCACATATGTACTGATGTAGTGATGTTGGTCGGGGGTGGCTATGTGTGAATGTGTGCAGGCAAAGCAGCACAGGAGAGGCTGCAGTGAGGAAAGAGTGTGGGTGGGCTGGTGTGTGTCTGTGGAAGCTGCTCTGCTGGAGCTCTCTTCCAATGACTTTTACAACTTTGTTCCATGTTAGCATCCCTCGTGAAATGGCTTTGGTTCAGGATTTATTATTTCTAGGAATTTCAAGATGCTTGTTTTCTCAAATTTATCTGAGGGGGAGGTAATGATTGAAGGCTGTGGACACACTGAATGCACTCTTTGCTGTCATCTCAGCTTTCCAGCAACTCCCTTTGGCTTCTTGTTCCTAGTTTGATTCTTAGCCGTCTCCACATGGACCATCATTCCAATGATGGTCATTAGTCTGACAGAATTTCCCCAGGACTGCTTTGCTAATCCTCAACTCTAAGCATTCACCGTATTCTTTTTCTCTGATTTGGTCCCCAAATTACAGAGACTTTGTATGACTATGTGGAATGAATCCACCTCAAGGTCGTATCACCCTCTGCTGTGCACATTGATACTTCTTGACAATGCTTTGGTTTATTACTTGTGGACTCCTCTCTTTATAATGGCTGCTGTGACCTTTCTGTTCTTCAGCCTGGTCTTAGTCCCCTTTAATGAATGACCTCACCAAGGAGGCACACATTATCTAACAGTCATGTCCATAGCTCCTTGTCCTAACAGACCCTCTCTCCACATCTGCTCATCTCTCCAGCCACCTCATTCTGTTTTCTTTGTGTCCTTCTCACCAATAAACTTTTCTAGAATCAAAATGCTTTTTGAGCTGGGCATGGTGGCTCACACCGGTAGTCTCACCACTTTTGGAGGCCAAGGTGGGAGGATCACTTGAGCCTAGGAGTTTGAGATCAGCCTGAGCAACATAGTGAGACTTCATCTTTACAAAAGAAACAAATTCCTCCACTTTTTTTAGTCCCTTACAATTTGGCCTTATGCCCCGCCCCTACAAAACTTTAAGGTTATCAAAGACTTCCTAGTCTACGTGTAAACTTTTTCTAAATTCCATCCTTCTCTATCTTGTAAATCAAGCCCTGCTTGTTGAAATGCCTCCCTTGGCTTGTGATTATTTCCTACTCTTTCTTAGCTCCTTTCTGCTCCTTATGTATGTGCTTGGCTGTTGGTTTTCTCCTGACCCCCGTTCTGTTTGATCCTTTTAGCTCTTAGGTTGAGATCCCTAGGAGCTAAAATCCTTGGGAAACATTCCATTTCTTAGCAGAACATACACAAGATTCTTAATGACCTGGCCCCTTCCTACCTCTCCATTCTCTTACCGTCATTACATATAATTGCCCTACACTCCAGCTACACGGAATTACTGGTTGTTCCCAACAGTCGTGCCTTATTTTCTGCCTGGTACACATTCCCCCGTTCCCATGCTTCGCTGTGTAATACCTATTAGACTCAGCTCTGAGGCACTATCTCCTCTGAGATGTCTCCCCTTACTCCTGTCTAGGTTATGTACCATTCTGTGCCCCTTGCTATCATGGCACCGTGCCATCAGTCTATTTACTTGTCTGCCTGTCCTATTAGAGTTCAGGCCCCTTGACAGCAGGGCTGAGATTTGTTCACTTTTGTCACCTACCACAGTGGCTGACACAGGATTGGTACTCAGTAACTGCTTAACAAATGTAGTCAATCATCATCTCTTTACTAAGCGGATGTTGCAATTAGCCTCTAGACCTGCATTTCCTATAGCATGCTATCTCTGCCAGGTTACCATCACCTAGTTCAAGGATAAACTCATTTAATTCTCATGGCTTAATATAGGTGACTTTAGGTTTCTTCTTTTTGTTTACCCAGTACCTTATGGGCCCAGCATGCTTTTGCTGTGTGACTCTGCTTATTTATCCCATACTTTAAAAATCTTTAGTGGACAAGTATTATTTTGGTTAAAAGAAAATAATTTTTAAAATCTTTTTTTTTTAAAGCCAAATAATTTCATACTGTATTGGAACAAAAACCCAAGTAAAACTACATTAGTAAAAGGGAGGATTTATCTGTACAGATTCTGGTGTATCCATGGATAGCAAAGAACAGAAATATGGCAGGTCTTGATAAATCCCAGATCCAGGACACGGGGTGTCCTGAGAATTCTCTTTTTCCCTGTCTCCAGCCCATATATCAGGTGAGATGACAGGGGACATTTCCCAAGGTTTATTGCATCTTCAGATATGCAGGGACAAATTTTATTTCCAGTTCCAGAATTCCCAAAGAGCAGGTTCCACCCAACAGTGGCCAGAGGGGACATGTCATGTAGTATGATAGTTTGGGAGGCACATCTGTAAAAACTGGGGGATAGATGCTGGGCATGCCAAACAACAGGTATCTTGTCTTGGACTCTTCTCCTGCCCGGAAGTTCCTCCAATTATCAAAATCTCATCATTCAAGGCTCAATATTAAATGCCACTTCCTCTGTAAAACCTCCACTGATCCCCATCTAAACAAGTCTGAACTACTTCTTCCCTCTGTGCTCTTCATTCTACTTTGTAGTAAGTGCGAATGACTGTGAACTCACAAGAGAAAGAATATAGTATTTAATAGAATTAACTCCAGATTTTAAGTTAGATCTGAATTGAAGCTGATTTCTAAACTAGCTAGGTGACTTTGGGCAACTTATGTAGCCTCTGAGTTGATTTCCTCATTTATAAGAAAAATGGCATAAGGAGTTGAGGATGGAGTGGTAACTAGTATGTCCTTGTGAGGATGAAAAGAGTCAGTGTTTGGAAACCCCTTGCAGAGTCCTGGAACACAATAGGCTAGGCATTCATGCATTGCTAGTTTTCTTTCTCCAGGTTTCTCTCTAGACTCTGAGTTCCCTGAAGATAAGATCTACTGTGTTTATTAAGTACTTCAAAGGTAAGTAGGTCTTTGTCAAATGTCTCTTGAATAAAATTCCTTTCAGTTGTTTTCCCAGCCAGATTTAGTTGGCTGTATTAACACTTATTGAGAGGTTCTGCTTTGCATGTATTGGCTTGATCATGGTAACCCCAGGAGGTAGGCTTTATTGTCTCCATTTTACAGATAAGGAAAAGGGTGCAGAAAGATTAAAACCCTCGCTGGAAGTCAAATAATATTAAATGATGGAATGAGACAAGAGCTCCAGGACCCTCCACTTCTAATAGTTGATTTATTCATTCCTTTAATTAAACCTTTCAAAGAGACTTACAGCCTCCTATGGTTGATGGCAATCATCTTCCTAAGATTTCACCAAAAATACAGAGAGTTGCACTTAACCATGAAGGACCAACTTATGCACCATGTTGCAAACTCCACGGGTCCCTAACCAGGAGATTTCAATCTACTGGATGATCTTTGTGTTTTATCTGATAGAACTTCAAGCTGGCTATCAGCATTGCTACACCCAACTTACAACGTGTAAAACTGTCCCAGCAGGCAACCATGGGAACTCAAACATGGCTTTCTACTAGGAAAAGGATGAGGAATCTGGCCTGAGCTCTTTATTTTCAGACAATTCCAGTTATACTTCATTGTTAGGCCTAATAGTTTTAATATCTTCTTTGATTACATCTCACCAATCACTATTACCTAGATTGCCTGTGCTTGAAATGACTTAGGTAAGTGGAAAAGAGCATATGGGAGAGTTGAAGTGATCCCCATACTTGCAAGACAGATGTTTTAAAGCTATCTTTACCTCAATTTTGTGATAAGGACACAACTATATTATTTCCACTTGACAAATGAAGAAACAAAAATTCACAGGAGTTAAGTGATCCATCAAAGATGTGCGTGAATTTGTGTTATAATGTAGGACTTCTATCCATGGGTTTCTCTACTTATATTATGATGTTTTTGAACACAAAAAACAGCAGCAGCAAATTTTGCTTGGCCACAGTTTATGGAATAAACATTATATTTTGGGGGTGAAAAAGCAAGGCATTCTTTTAAACTGGGTTTAAAAAGGGAGGGTCCTTAAATTTCATGCCTCATTATCACACTCCAGGAAAGATATATAAAAATGTAAAGGAGAAATGGCATCTATTGGGCCAGGAAATAATCTAAATGTTCTCCAATCTGTGTCCCTCATTGGTAAACTTTTTTGGGAGGGTGTGGGTAGTGTTGGGATCATCCCAGTCTTAGGTAGATTGCAAAGGTAGTCATCTTCTCCTGCTGTACTGTGAGTTCTCATCCCTCTCCCTTTATTACCTCCTCTCACAGTCACACTTGTAACTTCATCTGAAGTGTAGAAATTGTTACTTTGGTTGACTGCATGGTACTAACCAAAAAGTGCTGCTGCTGTAATTCCTAAAATTAAGAAGTTTACACATTTGGGTTTTGGTAGTTTTTCTTAACTTTTTAGGGTGAACATGTCCTCTCTTTTGTGATTTAAATTGGCTCCGGTCTCTTCATGCTTCAGTGTCCCTGTCTCTGTATTAGTAATTTGGCTCATGTTGGGTGGAAGACATTTGAGAAAAAACTCTCCAAAGGGTAGCAAACTTTACTGATCCTAAAATCTAGTAGGTGAACAAAGGAGATGACAAATTTTTAATCAAAGTAAGCAATAATGACAGGTTTATTGAAAATTTCCAGTAGAGAAAACCCACTTAGTTTTGGAATAAAAGTACTCAATGTACGAGAGCATAAGTGAATACAAAAGATTAACAGAAGAAAAATAAAACCAAACATAGTACAAAAAAATTTTAAAAGTTTGAAATGGATTCAAACTAGGATGTTCTTTAAATCCTCCAAATATTTAATAGAGTTACTAAGTTTGGCAAAAAATTCACTTGAAAATTAAAGCCTATTTCTGTATTGTAAACTTCATAAAAACTGCTTATTAAATTCAAGCACTCCATATAACTGGTATTGAAACATGTAGGCAGTCAATTTCAGAATAGCAGGAATTATTCATTTGCTCTCACAGTTACATGAATTAACCAGCTGCAGAACTGCTTTTTGAAGAGGATGAGATACAAGAATGCCAAAAGAGAGAAAAAAATGATAAAAATCTCTAAAAAAAGAAAAATGGAAACACAGCAAAATTCAGACGTCAGTTTGTTTCTCTAAAGCAACAAACTGAATTTTTACAGTATAGTCTACATTTGCAATTGTCATTTCCCTCTCCCCCACCCACCTCAAATACTCCTAAATTCACTAGTCTAATCAATTCTGAACTTTCAAATACTCTGTACATACATATTTAGCAAAGAGCATATGCCTAGCATTATTCTGACAGCAAGTATGGTCAGTATACAATTTTAGAAAGATTATTATGTATATCATCAAGATTAACCTTTACTTAAACAAACAAAACCATTGCTAAACAAATAGTTTTAAAATATTATGAAAACCCATGAAAAGAAGACTCAACATGGGCTCCAAACCTGTTTCAGAGCAACTATGAATGCTAAGCTTCTGCCCAACGATGACCTTAAAGTGCCAAACACAAAAGAATCTCTTAGGACTGCTTTCTAATAGATAATTTGTCCCTGGCCTGGCCATCTCCCCTTTAACTATACACAAAATCCTGCTAAAACTCTGCATTTTAGTTGATTTTACAATAGAATGTTACAACGTAAACTAAACAGGTTCTTGATATCAACAGTATGTTACCAAATTTTTTTTTTTTTTTTTTAAATTTCTGAATCCAACAGTTGGTCACAGAGGTCAAGTATTATCAAGGCTCCTTTGTCAGTTCTCAATCGTGTCTGACTCATCCATCCTTCAAGTACATGCAAGGCTCAATAGTTTTCAAGAGGCAGATGCCTGGGGCCATTTAAGACACAGATGAAATAGGATTATGAGGTGAACCCATTTGAGTAAGAACTTTATCCAGCCACTGGAGGGGGCCGTGCAGATGTATCTCAATCCAGCAGGGGGTGCTAGTAACATCCTGGCGGTGGTATTCTGCTCCCCAGCCCTAGGAAAAACATACTGGAGGTCATTTAACTTGTTTAATTCAGTGATTAAACTTATTAAGTAAAAAGAGTTTATATAACCAGAGACTTTGATTAAAGCTATGCATCTTTCCCCCTTGCCCCCCATCCCCGGGGAGAAAAAAAACACGCATGCATAAACACACACATAATTTGGTAGGCAATTCAAGGGATGGATGTTAGCCTCCCAGGGTCCATCCATGGATTCCAATAAGAATTACTAGTCTTGAGGAATGAAGGTTTTAAAATACATTATAAAGCTGTCTTAATAAAGGCACTTTAAAACTGTATTTTCATTACTCATTACATTACTGATAGTAATGTAACAGCTATTGTTAAATTCTCATTTTATCATCAACAAAATAAGGAAAAGCTATGCTAGATAGACTGACATTCAATTTCTTCCCTACTCAGCCACTGAAGGTCCTTCTATCAATACACAGCTCTTGATCTTTCAATCTCTAAGCAAAACAGGCAGGAGTACCTTCAAGTATCCAAAAAGCTATTACTGACACCTAGCCATTACTAATTATCAATCAATACATTCTATCATTCATTTGTACAAGAAGGTAGCTTGTCAGATTGACTGCATTAAGATACTACAGTTCCACAGAATAAAGTCACTATGAAAAAGAGAAAAGTAACTGCTACTGCAAACATCAAAAACTCATTGGTGTGGGTGGACAATGAATGTGATGTTCTGATTAATCTTCTAATTGTTGTTTCATGAGGAATATTAGAGAAGGCTGGGTTCTATTTATTTGTGCTACCTACCTACTCCAGTGGTTTTAAGAAATATATCTGGGGCCAGGCATGGTAGGTCATGCCTGTAATACCACCACTTTGGGAGGCCAAGATGGGTGGATCACCTGAGGTCAGGAGTTTAAGACCAGCCTGGCCAACATAGCGAAACCCCGTCTCTACTAAAAATATAAAAATTAGCCAGGCATGGTGGTGGTGTATGCCTATAAACCCTGCTACCTGGGCGGCTGAGGCATAAGAATCACTGGAACCCAGGAGGTGGAGGTCGCTGTGAGCCACGATCACAACACTGCACTCCGGGCTGGGTGACAGAGCGAAACATCTCAGGTGGGTGGATCACTTGAGGTCAGGAGTTAAAGACCAGCCTGACCAACATGGTGAAACCCCATCTGTACTAAAAATATAAAAATTAGCCAGGTGCGGTGGCGTGGCAGCCTGTAATCCTAGCTACTTGAGAGGCTGAGGCAGGAGAACTGCTTGAACCTGGGAGGTGGAGGTTGCGGTGAGCTGAGATCATGCCACTGAACTCCAGCCTGGGAGACAGAGGAAGGCTCTGTCTCAAAAAAAAAGAAAAGAAAAATATCTCAACACCAGAACCTATATGAACTAAATACATATATATATATAGATGTATGTATACCATGCATTTGTAAATATAAACAAACTCCTAAATTTAATTTACAGGTTTATGTGCAGGTTTCCTCCAACAGATAACAAGATCTTTGAAGGCAGGAATTTATCTTTACCTCCAATATATAGCATAATAATAGAAAGCAGAAGCTCAATAAACACATGTTCAGCTGAACTGACTTAGAATTTTCAGACACAGGGGAGTTTCAGACATAGGAGAGTTTAATAATTTATAAAATATGTTTTATGTTAATATCCAAAAATTATCATCTTAAAAACAGCACAAGATTAGTTACTGTTAGTAAAATGTTCTATTATAATTCCTTTAAAATGCTGAATGGGAGAGGATAGAGTATGCAGTCCTTACCATGAAGAACAATTTTGTAAAAACAGTGTGCAAATTTTTTGTTGCTAATATATGATAACTTCTCTTTAACATTCAGCTGAATTTTTAAATAATATTTAACTTTAGCTCTCTAGATCCAACTTCCAGGCTAGGCTTATTATATCCTGTATAACTCTCGATTCTAGTGCTTATCACATTATAATTAAAGATATACTAGAGCATAAGGATCTTGAAGATAGAGACTTTAGGTGCTTTTTCATCTTTGTATTACTTCTCTGAAATAGTGCTAAAGTATCTGCTGAATGAATGAAATCTAATAAATTTTGAATGCATAACTTTGTATTAAAAATACCTTTTATTAGTGTAAAGGGTGTTTTTACTTGTGTAAAAGTAAATTATTAAAACTGTACAAAAGTAAAATAATTAAAATTGATTGGGTAATCAATAACAAATGAGTTTGAGGAGAAAGTTAATTGGAACATTAAAGTCATAAATTCACCTAGAGTGATCCTTCAATAATAATAGAATCACTGAGGGACCTTAAAAATGATTATGATAGTTCTCAACTCCATCCACCTCCAAGAAGATAAACATAAGAACCAGAGAAAAAATCTGTGCCTTAATCATACAGTTAAAATGGTAAAAAAAACTTGGAAACTGCACCTCAACTCTCTAGGAACTGTTCTTTCCTCCATACCAATAAAAACAAACAAAAAACACTTCTGGCAGGTCATTGTTCTTATTTTAAAAATCATTTGAGCCAAATGCTAAGACAAAAATTAAACAGCACATGTTAATAATGAATAAGAAAGGTCTTTGTAGTCCCCTATGTACATAGCATATAGGTCAACCTCTTTAAAGGGTAAAAAAATTTCCTTAATATCAGACTCAGCTACAAATAACTGTTGAAATACACTGCCAAACAAACAAACAAACAAAAACAGCGAGGGAACACACTGAAAATCTAAGATGCTTTACATAAGTAGGAAAAGTAATTATATTCAGGAAAAGGTATCTATGATCTAAGCGATGATCAACAAGTAGAGCTCCAAAATTATCCTCAGTAATAAACACATTACAAAACAGGTTTAACAACAAGTCTGGTGAGCTTCTGAAGAGAAGATATAAAAGGTAATTGGCTCACTCAAATATATAATTAGCTTTGTTTCTCAAAGTACCAGAGGATAAAATTTATTTTCTAGAATTCAGAGATAGGTCAGTTACTAGAATAAGTCACTGACTCATGAAATCTCATCAGACATTTAATTTTTTAGATTTAGGCATCTTAAACATTTTTATTTCTCAGAGGCAGAAGATGAGACAGCAAAAAGATGAATTATTATGAGCAATGTCTTTAACCTTCTCCCTCTTCAAACCTTACAATGCAACTTTTGAGCTAAGGCACCTATTTATCTTGGGCAAGGGTCTTACTAACTTTTGAATGATAAAAAAATCATGAGGCTGACTGAAACCTGACCAAACACAATTTCCAATGCAATGAACTTTAATTTTTACAAAATGAAAGTCACTTGCTTACTGTTGAAACAAAAACAAGCATTACCATGATAACAGTACTAAAAGTGAGAATGAAAAGGAAGATATGCCTATTCAACTGATCTTTTAAATGATATGTTAAATATATAACACAGCATATGCTAATGGTAATACAATCGCTAAAGCAGTGCTATTTGAATAAGGAAAAGGCTATTAAAACCTACTGCTTTTGATATTTAACATAAGTACACCTAGGTTCCAATGATTTTTTTCCTAAAAATTGACATTCTGGCTAAAGTTTCAAAATGCATAGATAAGTCAGCTAATATGAACATATTATCAAGAGGATACAGATTCATATACTGCCAAAAAAAAAAAAACCAACAACAACAAACAAATCAGTAAAAGTGTATTAGAACTTAAATGGAGGAGTCAGGGCTCACTTACCTTCACAAAGCTCATACGTATAGTACACATTTTTGTGAGCTCATAGACTGTCTCAAATCCATGGTTCACAGACTGTGCCAGTAACTGAGCAAATTCTTGGTTGTTAAAAATTTTCAAACTACACCCACTAGGGATCTTGCAAACAGTAGTAGGATGAAATCCATGATGGTAGTTGCAGTTCCGACTTTGCACAAAGATGCTACTGTCACTAAGGCATTCGGCATACACCTCCCCTCCAACATAATAAAGATGAACTCCTGTAGGAAGAAAAACGTATCATTTTGTTATCATTAGTTTTTATAGCTCAAAGGAATCTGTGCAGCTTCAACACAGAAACTTAAATTTACATGGATTTAAACTTTGGCTAGTTAGATAGCTGTTCTCTATGTCCTGTACAACATGGGTCTCCAACCCCCGGGGCCATAGACCAGTATCAGTCCGAGGCCTGTTAGAAACCAAGCCATAAAGCAGGAGGTGAGCAGTGGGTAAATAAGCAAGCATTACAGGTTGAGCTCCACCTCCTGTCAGATCAGTGGCAGCATCAGATTCTCACAGAAGCATGAACTCTACTGTGAACTATGCATGCCAGGGACCTACACTGCATGCTCCTTATGAGACTCTGATGCCTGATGATCTGATATGGAACAGTTTCATCCTGAAACTATCCCTCCCCCACACTCTGTGGAAAAATTGTCTTCTATGAAACTGGTCCCTGGTGCCAAAAAGATTGGGGATGGATGCTGTACGACTGATAAAATCTTAGTTAACTGTATTAGTTAATACAATATTTAGGAGGTTTCTAGAAAATAACATAACAAAATGTTTTAAAAATAGCAATAGGTCAGGCACAGTGGTTCACACCTGTAATCCCAGCACTTTGGGAAGCCAAGGTAGGCAGACTGCTTGAGTCCAGGAGTTCGAGACCAGAGCAAAATACTACCTCCACAAAAAAAAACAAAAAAAAACAAAAAAAAGAAAAAGAAAATTGGCCAGGCATAGCGGTGTATGCCAGTTACACAGAGGCTGAGGTGGCAGGATCGCTTGAGGCAAGGAGGTCAAGGCAGTAGAGAGCTGTGATCATGCCACTGCACTACAGACTGGGTGACAGAGTGAGACCGTGTCTCAACAACAACATACCATAGCAATTTCATTTTGGTAAGTGATTAAAGCCCTATTTGGCCACACATTGAAAGTGTATTTCCACTCTAAAAATATAGTATAACAAAACCCGGATGCTATGTATTTACTATATATAAAGTGTTCTTGCATTTATTCTGCAGCGAAGTGTTTGGAAATTTTTAGAGAGGGAAGGGTGGAGAAAGAGAAGTAGAGAAACTGGAAAACCACAAGTGGAAGAAGTATTGCCAAGAGCTGTAAGACAGAAGATCTAGTGGAAAAAGAAAAGAATAGAAAAGGAAAGAAAACTATGAAGTGTAAAATCAGATCTCACTAAACTACCACCTGCTCTGAATTTCTCCCTATTGAGAACTAGAGTGTTTAAAGTATAGGAAATTGGTCTTACCCTGCCTTAAAAAAAAGAAAAATAGGGGGAAAAAACTCATTCTCACAAAGCCCCACACCATTATGAGAGAGGACTTTATACAGGTCACCCAGCAGCGTTATATCCTATGTGGATTGAAATGATCCACATTGTAGGTAACTCTGGTATGATTTAGTCAAGGCTAAATTGTTGTCTCATAGAAAATATTATATGTTGTACTTACATGTATATTCAATGGTCAGAATTTCTATAACAATTAAATAGCTGCTAGAGCAGAAGCCCATTTTTTTTGGCCTAATATAGAGAAAACAATTTAAGAGTGTGTGTGCTACTAATTTTTCCTGATAATAAAAATGACAAATTTTCATTCTGAAAAATCAGAAAGTAAATCAAAATATAAAGAAGCAGAAAATATTATCACTTTTTTAGTGACTTAGAGGCAGTAAATATTAATAGTATGATACACTGTATTAGGTTTTAGGTATCATTAAAATGTATGATACACTGTATTAGGTTTTAGGTATCATTAAAATGTCTTTTCAAACATTTTATATATCTGCATGATTGTATGAGCATTTATAAAATGATTCTCCCATTAGTGGATCACTGGGTTGATACTAATTTTCTGCTTTTATAATAATGCCATGATAAATGTCTCAGGACAATTTTTGATAATATCCTTAGGAGAGATTCCTGGAAGTTAAATCATTGGATTGAAGGCTGCTGATTGACTCTGCCAAACGACTTTCCAGAATGCATCAATTTACACTGTCACCAGCAGCGCAGGAATGCCTTTCTCATTTTACCTGTGCCAGTACTGAATTTGAGTGTAGAGCAAAAACAAAATTTCCCTAATTTATAGCTGACAAATAATTGTTTAATTTGCCTGTGAGGCTGGATATGCTCTTGTAGTTTATTAGCCATCTGTATTTCTCTTGTGAATTCATTGTTCGCATTTCTTACCTATTTATCTCACTGGGGTTCTATTTTTTTTTTTAATGAACTGTTAATGTAGGAAGGATATAAATACTTTATGTCTTACTTGTTTCCCTGTTAGTCCTTTGTCTTTTAATTTTGTTTGTGACATAATTTTAACCTACAGAAGTTTGCAATCTTAGTCAAACCCTCTTATGATTCTTTGTTGCTTATTATGCTTAGAAAATTTCTACCTCTCTATCAAGTATATTTTTTTCTAGCTTTTTAATTGTTTGCATTTTTAAAAACATTCAACGCATTAATCTGTTTGCATATATAGTATATGAGGTCAGTCAGTGTTTCTCTTTTCCAGCCTCACCCAAAAGCTAACTTTGTTATTGTAGAACCATTAGAAGACTCTACTGATTTGTTATGCTTCACTTAACATACATTATATTTTTATATACAGCATAGTCTGAGTTTAACTCATTCTGTTTTGTCCACACACTGATTTATTTATAGTTTTACAATGTTTTATTAACCCTAATGCCAATAATTTTTTCTTTACTTTCCGTTTACAAATATAGCTAGCCTTACTTGTTTAAACTTCTAGGTAATATTCAGAATACATTTTCCAACTTTCCAAAAAAATTACATTGTGATTCTGAAAAGAATGGTTTTAAACTACAAATTAAATTAGATGGAATATGCTTAAAATGTTCTCACAATATTAAGCTTTCTCTTTAAGGAACACAGATTGCCTATTTATTCAAATTTTTTCTCAATAAAATTTGGGTTCTTCATGTAATTCTCACATATGGCAGGTTCAGATTATTTCCAAGAAATTGATGTTTTCTTGGCTATTGGGAAGGAGATTTCCCCTTTCTTTATATTTTCTTACCAGATTAAAGGAAACTTATTTCATAATTTTTAAAAGATAAATTCTATGGAGGTTTCCAGAAAAACAATCATGTCATTTGAATAGGCACAATGTCCAATCATAATACTGGCATGGATGAAAAGAGAAAGGCTCTCATCATATACTTCTGGTAGGAGTGCAAATTAATTTTATTTATTTATTTTAATTAATTAATTTATTTATTTTGAGACAGAGTCTCTCTCTGTCACCCAGGCTGGAGTGCAGTGGCTTGATCTCAGCTCACTGCAACCTCCGCCTCCCAAATTCAGGTGATACTTGTGCCTCTGCCTCTTGGGTAGTGGGGATTACAAGTGTGTGCTACCACACCTGGTTAATTTTCATATTTTTAGTAGAGACCTGGTTTTACCACATTGTGCAGGCTGGTCTCAAACTCCTGACCTCAACTGATCCACCTGCCTTGGCCTCCCGAAGGGCTGGACTTACTTTTTGCAAAGTAATTTGGTGAAATATATCAAGAGATTTTGATCTACTAATTTCACTTCAAGAGTCTATTCCAAGAATATTGCCAATCAAACATATCATCTACACATAATGATAATCTTGACTTATTTCCATTATCTATAATTCTGTATTTGAGGACACTACTCAGGGCATCTGGAATAACAGCATTCCAAGAATGCTTATTTTCTTTAATAATGTTTTAAGAGAAAATGTCTCACAGTACATTTTTTTTTCTACTTTGGGATAACAGTCATCTTTAGAATTTAATGAAAAGTATGTTTCTCCTTCCTAAATGTATGCAAAATTGTGTTTATATACAATTTCAGAGGTTTACAGACCACAGAAAGATACCTGTGTATGCTGTGAACCTAAGTTCTAGCATTTCATTATTAAATGTATAGTGTTTTTTCCTTTAATTATATAAGAAAAGATCTATCAATTCCTGATATAAAAGTTGGAGTTTTCTTACCCTCAGGAGTAAGTAAATGCTACACTTTACCTTGAGTGCTTTTTAAGCATCTAATAAATAATCTTTTAATCTGGTCCACTGTTCTGAATTTCACAGTAGTTCACTCTTTCATACTTTTACTCTGGAAATAATTTCAAATTTGTAGAAAAGTTTGAAAGGGAACAAAGAAAAACAGAACAAAGAAAACTCATATAATCATTATCTAGATGGGTCTACAGTGACAACTGACTCCATCTGCTTCATCACTTGTGCCCTCCCTCCCCGCTGCTGCTTCACACGCACCGTGTGTGTGTGTGTGTGTATGTACGTATGTATTGTGACACAGGTTTTAGATAGATGGTGAGTAGACCGGTATCTTTATGTACTAATTTCTTCCTGAACCACTTCCTTAAATACTTAAGTATTTCCTAAGAATAGGGATAGTCTCTTACATAGCCATAATATAGTTGGCAATGCAAATACCTTGGTCTAATCTACCATTAATATTCCAGATTTTCCTGCTGACCTCAATAATGTCCTTTACAGTATATTTTTTTTCTCCTTTTCAGTATAGGATCATGTCCAGGGTCAGGTATTGCATACAGGTGTCCTATCTCTTTAACTGCTTTTAATCTGGAACATTTTCATATCTTTATTTGTCTTCTGACATAATATTTTGGAAAAATTAGTCCCGCTTCACCCTCTTTAATAGAATGTTCCTTGCTTTGAGTCTGTCTGATATTTCCTCAGGATTAGATTTGGATTTGCATTCTCAGCTGGAATCCTGCGTAGGTGATGTTACGGCCTTCTCAGGGTATGACATCTGGAGGTACATGATACCCATCTGTCTCTCATTGGTGATGATAATTTTGATCCCCCAGTCAAAACAGGGCATCAGTTATATAATTACAATTAAAATACAAATGATACAGTTTCTCCACTGTTTAGTTAATGCTTTTTATTCTCCCTTGTACTAATAGACAGTTTGAGAAACAACACTCCTAAGACCATGCAAATATATCGATTCTCATAAACAATTTTCTTTATATTTAGCATCCATTGATGATTCTTGCCTGATCCTTACTATGACGGTTATAAAATGATGATATTCAAACTTTAGCACTCACTCTACATTTATCAATTAGCCTTCCCCATTCACTTATTTATCTATTTATTATGAATAGGGACTTATGTATTCATTTTGTTTTTCAGTGGTTTAAAATTCAATACGGTACTGAGGCCAGGCACTGTGGCTCACACCTGTAATTCCAGCACTTTGGGTGGCCAAGGCTGGTGGATCACTTGAAGTCAGGAGTTTGAGAGCAGCCTAGCTAACGTGGTGAAACCCAGACTCTGCTAAATAAACAAACATTAGCCAAGTGTGGTGGTGCATGCCTGTAATCTCCCAGCTACTGAAGAGGCTGAGGCACAACAATCACTTGAACCTGGGAGATGGAGTTTGCAGTGAGCCCAGATCACACCACTGCACTCCAGCCTGGGTGACAGAGGAAGACTGTATGTCTATATACATATGCACACAGACACACACATACATATATAATGCATATAATATAGATAATATATAATGAAATAAAATTATGTATATGTAGATGTAAAATAAAATAAAATTCATCAGTACAGTTATTTTGAAGCTCAAATTGTCTGAGAGTTGGCCAGTGGAAGACCCTCCAAGTTGGCTCCTGAGGCATGCCCTGTGATTCCCATAAGCATTTCTTTATTTCTTTACTTTCTGCCACAACAAGATGCTCCAGGATATTCCTGTGCCTACCTGTCCAAGCCTAGGGATCAGCCATTTCTTCAAGAAGCCCTAGTTCCTTTTAGTGGAACATGGTATTAGACAGAGATGATGATCTGAACATGAGGTGTGCTTATTGCTACTGGGTATATGTATGCTTCTGGGCCCTTTCAGCAGGCAGATAAGAAACTATATCCATGTAAAAACGCATATACATATGCATACATACACATATACTTAATACATGAGAACATAAATATGCATACACATATGTATTAAAATCAGGATTTTGCACTGATGCCTTCATCCTCCTTCATAGGGTATATTTTTTGCTCCCTTCTGCATTTCTATGTCCATTTTTCCACGGTGGAAACCCAGGCTCCCAACAATATCCACTTATTTAGTCATTTGCTTCATCTTTTAATACATATGAAAGTTTCAGAATGGTTTCACTCAGCTTTGAAATAATCAAGTTTACTAAAAAGAGTTCAGGATTTATTTGAAATCCTCCTCCTACTCTATCTATTCCACTCAGCCTAGACTGAGGATATATAGTCACATACTATAATTGGTAACTTATTAGGCTTGCTTTTCCGTCTTTACTTTTTCTTATTATAAATATATCCATGCCTGATTTCTTGTTCTTATAAAGGTGCTTTCTTATGTGGATAGTTGTTCAATTTGGTGTCCCTGTGGGGGGACAACCACTGCAGGGTTCTATTTGGCCACCTTGCACGATGTTTGTGCTAGAATCTAGTTTTCTTTTCTATTTACTGGGTTACAGTATTCATTTGAAATACAATTAGCAATTAAGTTTAACTTGCTTTTAATTTTAGGTTGTAATTTATTTTTTAACCGTCAATTTATTCTGTAGCAAAATATCAAATAAAATAGGCTTAAAATGGCAAATCATAATTTCAACTAACTAACTTCAATATTGTGAGAGTTGATTGAGCACAAAAATCACTGACTGCAAGAGCTTCCAGGTAGAAGAAACTGGAAAAATATTTACAAACTGCAGCAAGTGAATATTACCTGGTCTTTGCTATACTAGTTTGGTAAAGGAATGATTTTTAAGTCAGCTCCAGAGGAACAGGGACACAACTGAAAACATCTGAAAGAGGTTAAAGCAAAAACTCACCTTTTCCAATATGCCGCCTGGTGTTTTCAATAGTGGAATTCCGGTTAACATTGGAGAGCAGCCCAAGGCAGAAACGGTTCTTATTGTTGGAAGGATCAGTGAAACCATCCACCAACACACTTGTGGAGGAGGCATGGAATGCTTCACCCACACGATTGTTGAGCTCATAGTAGACAATAGAGCACCAGTGTTTTGGTTCCTCATAAGCAACTGCCTGAACGTCTGTAAGAACGAAAATGTCTTATCAACCAAGGTTAGTGCCTCAGGTTCTCAAAAATTGAAACGGTATTGTTAAATTGGCTCAGGATCGTGGAATGAAGATATTGGCTGGTATTATAATGTATACAGTTTTTCCATGATGTTTAAAGCAGGTACTTCTTACTAAATATGACATTCTCCTTTAATGGAAAACAATGTTCTCCAATTACTATCAGATAACCAAAACACCAGCTAAGGAAGCATAACAACAACTTTTGCCAAATACTAACAATATGCTAATTGCTCCGTAATATGCAGAAATGGAAATCACCCCACTATAGACTGTGACTCACCATCTAAAGAAACACAAGTGACAAGTGAAAAAATAAGTGGGAAGAGGGCAAGAGAAGACAGGAAATATGCCAAAAGTACTGGCATAAAAATGAATTCGTTTTGGCAAAGACTAAGTATGCCTACACTTTTTCAAAGCAATGAAAATCAGTTTCTAATTATTGATAAGAAGTTACTTTACCTCATATTAAGTTGCCAATAACTATCACAGCTACAGTGGTGCTCCAGTTCTCAAACTCAGGAAGAAATCTTGCCAGCTGGCCATTCTTACAGAATGAATCATATCTTTCTCATCCAGATTTCATGCTAACTTCCTTATATTTGCTTTAAGTCATGCAGAGCAGGTGTGTTTTGTCTCTCCATTCCCAGAATGGGCCAACAATGGAAATTACCCAACTTTACTGACAGGATGCAGCTTGTTAAGTCAAATCTCTTAAGACTAACAAATCTCTCCAAACAGAACATGCTTCTAAACATTTGCAACTAAAAGGTTTTAAAGATGAATTCCTTCTGTAGTAAAACCTCTTGTATCGCTGCTTTAGAGATTCCAGGAAGACAAACCATGTATTTCCAGCAAACCAATATATAATGATCTGAGATTTATGAAGTCTTGGATACAGAATAATAAGAGAAAGAAAAGAAAGTCCACATCAGAAGCCCAGGCTATAACTGCTAAGGGAGAAGCACCTCTGTGTTCTTAACATCAAATTCCACAAATACTAAAATGCACTTACTTTAGAATTTCGTAAAAACAAAACAAAACAACAACAAGAAAAAACACACACCACATATACACACACACACACACACACACACACACACACACACAAAACAAAACAAAACAAAAACAACAAGGAAAATACTCACTAAAAAGCCCAGACATAAGTTACTTACTTTACATACTTAGTTAGCTAAAAACATACACTATCTTCCCTGCTTGCTAAGCAACTCTACCATATCAATTTGCTATATTTCAAAGAACAAAACTTCAGTGATTTACAAATCTTAAAGCAGATTGCAGCATTTTAACAGAAGGCTTTTATCAACTATCAGGATACTTCAAAATACTATTCATCTAGGTCAGAGGTTGATCAATTTTTTCAGTGAAAGGCCAGAAAGATTTTATGGACTGTATAATCTTTATCACAACTATACGATTCTGCCTTTGTAACACAAAAGCAGTCACAGACAATATGTAATGAATAAATACAGCTGTGGTCCAATAATGCTTTATTTTCAAAAACAGGTAGCGGGCTGAATTGTCCTGTGGGCTGCTGTTTGTTGATCCCTGCTCTAAGAAAATCACCAAAGGTTAAAGAAAAGTAGGAAAAAAATGGGAAAAGAAAAAAAATGGCCAACATTCCTTTCTTATGAAAATATTAAATGACTATAAACTAAAAAGGAAAAAAAATGTAAAGCTATTTAAATGAAAAAAGTCTTAAAGCAATCTGAAGATCTGTTTCCTGAAATCAGACATTCTGGGCTTAGCAACAATAGTTACTGGGTCCACATGCTCCTAATAGTGAGGTACTGTGCCTATTCTCTCCTGCTATCCTGGTCCCCAAATATAAATTCCACAGATATGTGAGACAGAGGTTATTTCCCCCAATGAGAGTGTTCGTCGACTTATAATTATGTTTAATAAGATATTCAAGAGATAATCAGGAAACATAAAATATGAAGCCAATAAAAAAGATTTTAAAATTATACTGATTAAAAAGGTGTACATTCCAATTTATTACACTGAACATCTAAGAAAGGTCCTTCGAGTTTATCACTAATTCGTGTTTTTATTTTTATTTTTTTTTTTGAGACTGAGTTTTGCTCTTGCTGCTCAGGCTGCAGTAGAATGGTGTGATCTCTGCCTCCTGGGTTCAAGTGAGTTTGAAACTGAGTTTTGCTCTTGTCACCCAGGCTGGAGTGGAATGATATCATCTTGGCTCACTGCAACCTCTACCTCCCGTGTTCAAGTGATTTTCCTGCCTCACCCTCCTGAGTAGCTGGGATTACAGGCCTACACTACCACACCCAGTTAATTTTTGCAACCTCTGCCTCCTGGGTTCAAGTGATTCTCTTTCTTCAGTCTCCTGAGTAGCTGGGACAATAGGTGACCACCACTACACCCCTCTAATTTTTGTATTTATAGTAAAGACAGGGTTTCACCATGTTGGCCATGCTGGTCTCGAACTCCTGACCTCAGGTGATCCGCCTGCCTTGGCCTCCCAAAGAACTGGGATTACAGGCATGACCCATAGCACCCAGCCTTCATCATCAATTTTTAAATTGATGTTTAGAGCAGTTTTAGGTTCACAGCAAAACTGAGTGTAAGGTAAAGTAATTTTCCATATGCCCCACAACCCCCTACACCTTCCTAGCCTCCCTCATTAACAAATGTACGAATCTTCCCCACCAGAGTCGTACAGTTGTTATAACTGATGAACCTACGTTCATCCTACAGACCTACACCCAAAGTCTATAGTTTACATCAGGGTTCACTCATGGTGGTGTACATCCTATGGGTTTGGACAAATGTATCATGTTTGGACATGCAGCTACCACTGTATAATGTATCATACAGACAAAATCAATTTCAAGTACTCAAAAATATAAGCAATTCCTATTTTAATAAAAAAGCACTAAGAATGAAATAAGACTTGCCTAGTAATCAAATTGCACTTTAACTTCAATTTGCATCAACATTATACAAATTGCATGATCCATGCCATGTGCTGAGTGCAGCAGTGAAGCACCTTCTTTCATGAGAGGTTATTTAGGAACAGTTTTATTTGCCAGCGTGGCTGTGGATTCTAACAAATTCTCAGAGATTCTACCAGACTTATTTACCTGAGTTCTCTGCTCACTTAAGTCTTAATCTTGCCTATGCAGAGCTGGAAGAATGATCCTCCACTCAGCACTGCTAAGGATAATATCACGCTGGAATCAAAGACCCATCCTTTACTAAAGGGGGAAAGAAATTTTCATTTCTGCTTGCAAGTTCTTCAGGTTGAGAAGAGGAAAAACTTGTGCCTCAATTTCTTTTTTAGAAACAAACAGCAAGAAAGAAATGCTATTAGTTTGTTCCAGTTGTAGTTACACATACATAAGGACTGAAAAATAGATGAAGTTTATGAGTATCTACCTTAATTATAAAAGAAAGCCTTTGGACAGCCCAGTTATACCAACTTCCAACTTTGGAAATCACCAATGAGACTCTACTACAGTTCTGCTATGCTTATTGTTTCGGAATACCATTTTGTTCATTTAAAAATACTCTTTTCAGCTGGGTGAAGTGGCTCACGCCTGTAATCCCAGCACTTTGGGAGGCTGAGGTGGGCGGATCATCTGAGGTCAGGAGTTTGTGTTCAGCATGGTCAACATGGTGAAACCCCATCTCTACTAAAAATACAAAAATTAGCTGGGTGTGGTAGTGTGGGCCTGTAATCCCAGCTACTCAGGAGGGTGAGGCAGAAAAATCACTTGAACCCAGGAGATAGAGGTTGCAGTGAGCCAAGATAGTATCATTCCACTCCAGCCTGGGTGACAAGAGCAAAACTCAGTCTCAAAATATATATATATATATATATATATATTTTCATCATCCGTTAAAAATTCTAAGTATTAAAGACCTAAAGAGATGACTGCAAAATCATTCTCAGGTCTTCATTAGTTAAGTCAGTGTATTTGTTCTTAAAATGGAAGACTTGAAGGAATTCTGCTGAGCTTCTCTTACCACTGGGCTCTATTTTTCTCAAGTAGCTCTCTTTTTAAAGACTAATAAAAATTTGTGAAAGTAACATCTGGACAGATAAACTTTAGACTCTAAGAAAGGGAAGAGATAACAATTGGTTTTACCTCCTCTGTTGATTTCTGAAGGCAGGGGAGGCGCCATCATGTTTGTGTCCATCGGCTGAGAGCCATCCTGGGTCATGGGGTCTTCAGGAGGCAGGTAAGCAGGTGGGGGCGTATCAGCTACAAAGTTTTGAAAGAAGTTATTTCTTAAGCCTTAAACACATATCCTCTTCTGTACTGAAACTCTTAAGAGATCAAGTTGCCATTTCAACCTCCCCATTAAAAGACTAACGGCTACAGGCACTGGCCTTGATGTACAATTTCTAAAAAGTATTAATCATGCCACAATCATATACATTTTTGTGAAAATTAAGTGGGAGGATAACTATTATACTATAAGCCAGTTCCAGAAGCTGTTCGCCTATCCAATCAGAAGAGTATTTTAAGCATACTTTGTTCTGCTTTGAGAGGACCACTACATTTCAGTTTCACTGGCAGAGGAAAACCTCTGATAACTTCACTGGACTTCTTAAGAAAAGGAGCTTCAGGGTCTTTTGCATTAAATCTACGGGCTTTTAGGAAATTTACCTGAGTTTCTTTATATCCTACTGATTTGAACTGTTGATTTTTCATGACTTTAGGCAATCTGTTAGGACCACATTCTCCCTACCCATTTAAATCATCACTAGTTTTTAAATCCCTAGTAACAGAACAAAAGAAAATGAATCAGTTTATCACAGCTGTCTTCTACCTCAGAATTTGTATATATGTTTCTTCTGGCAAATAAGAGGCAAACATGATTTTTTCAACAAAGAATACTAACACAAGTCTTCCATTTTCTTAACATAAAAAAAAAGGGTATAGGTTTCTCACAAACAATTCTTTTCTACCCAAAAGGAAGTTCCTCACTAGCTATCATGAGCCCATCTGACATGTGTGACAGAGCCTTGGAGACAAAATTTTACCTGAGGGAATCGTGAATGCTTGGGTAAGTCATCAAGACCACTCAGAACAACCGTCAAATACAAATAACTCATGTTGTTCCTTCAAAGAGCCCCAGTGATCTCCACGACTCACTCTCCAGCTGAATCCTAACCCAGTAACTTTACATCCAGCTGCTAACAAGCAACGACTCACAGTACTGAGACAGGACTACCGGGACCTCCTCTGGATGTCTTTTTTGCCCTTTCTCCAGCTTCTTTTAATTCAGCCTCTTCCCTGCAGCTGTAAGGCTGACTTGGCTTTATCTCAAGCCAGGAATAAAGACAAAGAGCCTCCTCTGAGCCCAAATCAATGAATTTCTGCCAAGAAGCTGGTGAAAATTTCATCGGCAACTTACGGTAACAGCATAACCAAGAGGGACCCGACTATTATTGATACTATTCTACTATTCCTACAAGCACCTCTTCCCATCCCTTGCAACTATTTTCCATTTTTCTGCTACTTGGCCTACCTTAATCCCTGACACCTAGAAACAAAGTGTAAATTCAAGCAATAACCTTTAATTCACTCTTGGGGCCACTCTGGGTTGCCACTGCTCAAAAGTCTTCTGAAATGTGTCTCCTCACCACTAACCTGCCCATCAAAAAGGTTAGTGCTGAGGTGGAAGGGGGTGAGGTGGACAGGAGTCACCAGTGAGTTTGATTTTTAAACTAGTCTATCTCCCAACACTCGTCCCAAACAGCTTTGGAGTGAAAAACAGACAAAACAATGTGAAATAAACGAGATTTAAATAAAAGAAAATAACACATACATAAATAAAAGGAAGCAATATAAAGTGTGGACCACTTGTCAATTTTTGAAGGCCTAGCACTGATGTTAAGTTCAAATTTACTTAAAAACATTTCAAGCAGCCTAATAAACACACATGCCCAGTCATTTTCCTTTCCCAAAACATTAATAGATGTTAAGAACATTTTTGTTTAGGATATCCTTCTTAAGGTCTATCGGCAAGAAATGTGGCACTATTTTTTTTTGGAGATGCTTGCTCATTAACCTGTAAAATATAAAATGTCCTTATTAATCATTTATTTTGATAACCATTACAACATCAGTTATGTCTAAAAAAAGAAGATAATCGTTTTTTGTATTTGCTAAATTGACCAAGCAGATGGTTTCCAGTACTTCTGTTCTAATTCCTTTGTTGTTAAAATATGTGTTTCTTGGGATTACATCATCATTTAAATAAATTTAATTAGGTAGGGGTGTGATCCCTCAGGAAATATCTTTTCTGAGGTTGCACTTACAACAGGAGTTTCTCCATGTATGAAAACGATGTTAATTAGGTTGTGTTCTCATAAGAGCAAATATGTAAACATACTATTTTTCTTTTTATCAAGAGTAAAGACTGTAACAATTATGCCACTTCCAGAAGGATGCAGCTGTTTCAAAACCTTTTAAAAAGAAGGGGAAAATACAGCTTATTCAAGCATCTGTGCCTGATAAATAAAATAAGACATTTGCTTACTTGGCTATCAGGTCTCCTTTCTCCAAAAATCGTATCCGAAAAGTGCTGAAGCACTGTGTCATATACCAGGGCTGAAAAGCTCCCTCTACTGCAGGTTGACCCAGCTTCTCTGTGACACCGTGATAACACTATCTGATCTGACCACAGAACAACACTGAACATTCCAACCTACCTGGCATTTGGAAAGGGCTTCCTGGGTCTGAGCTGGTGGGAGAGTGAGGATAGGTGCTGCTGCTGCTCCCAGGAGAGTTTGGGTAACTGCTATTGGGAGAGTGAGGAAATGGGTGGCTGTTGGGTTGCTGGAAAGAATCTGGAAAAGTGGCGTTGAGTGGCATGTGAGGTTCATTTTGTCCTAAGTTACGGAACTGAGCTAGGAGGCTGTGCTGAGGATTATATTCGCTGTGTCTTGGAACCAGCACAGGAGGAAGTACTAGAAAAAGAAGCAGAAAAAGAGAAAAAACAAAAATGAGACTGCTCATCTATAATTACATCACAATAAAGTAAAAATCTGTGACAACAAATTATCTGATCCCTGCCCTGCTGCCAACTCAGAAGCATCATCCAAATGAAAAGCAATTTTACTCTCAGGAACAAATACAATTCCTTTAGAATCACTGATGACATATGCCTGAGATTTGCAGTACTCACCAATTGCCCAAGGAAAACTGGAAAAATACAATAGGTTAGTGTTAAGGTTCCCTCATTCTTAATTTTTTTCATTCACTAAAAAACAAAGCATAATTCTTTACTGCCATTGACAATTATATTTCATAGGCCTGCTGATGAGTATTCACATTTAACAGTTAATGCTTACTGAATGATATGAATTATTCACAAATGTATTAAGCTGACACCCTAGTTTAATATGAAAAGGCAGCATAGTAAATAAAGCTGAAAAAGTAAAATCAGTGAGCCATAAAAAACTTAAATGCCATGAAGATAGTCAATTATATAAAATATAAGGTGTTTTGTGGATTTTTGTTGTATCTTGTTCTAGGAGTCGTACTTTATAAATATCTTTTTTTCTAAGAATCTTACCCAGTTTTCAATAATCCTTAACACCACCTGAGAGGCCAAGGAAGAAATAGGTTATACAATCCACATTTTGCAAACTGAAAATTCAAGGTACAAAGGCGGCCCAATAGGTAGGCACCTGTTGAGAAGTAAAGAAACCAACTCCTTGTTACTCCTAAACTCTCTCTGTTAGGAACCTAAGGACTTAATAATTGGCATGGTCATCAACCTCCAAAACCACCTGAGGCAAAGCCGCTATAAATATAATTATCCTAGAAAGGCAGGGCTGGCTAACAGTTACAGAGCCCTAGCCAGATCCCAGGGTTAGATCCTAAGTTTCTCTGCCACAGTCACCAGATGGATATTTTAATAAAGGCCTTTGCAATCCCTCCTGCTCCTGTGGCCTCAGATACGAAGAGAAAAACAACCCATTTTATAAACTCCATGAGAGGAGAAAGGAGAGATTTAAAGCCTATAATTATTGTTGGTAGTTAGGAATCAGAATATATTTTCCCGAAGAAACAATATTTAGTGGCATTAGGAATTAGCAGACTTCTGAGGGCTTTCTAGGGAATCTATGCATAATTTATATCAGTTTTACAGTAAAAAGTTCCCTGAACACTTGGATTATCACTTTTCTATGAGCTGAAACTTGCTTTTTAGATAAAAATTGGTTTTTAAAAACTATTAAAATTTCTCATGTGCTGTATTTTATACTCCTACATAATCCCATAGCATCAGATTTGTTGACTTCCCTGAGTCTTTAGAAACAAATCTTTTGAGTATATAAATGTATTTTTTAGTATGGTGATGGAATCTTCCCAAACCAAATCATTAAAAGCATAACTTCTTTGTCTATCTTTCAATAGTCATCTGAACCATAAAATACCTTTGTTTTGTCAAAGAAACATTCCTGATAAGGATCCCCAATGCCAATACAAATTTATATTCCAAAACAGCCCAATACCTTTCAATTACTTTTGCAATGACAAACATTCCCTTTTCCTTTAGCTGCTGTAATTTGAGTTACTATTTCCCAACGTGCCTTTTACAGGCATCTGGCTATGGTCTCAATGATGATTCTTACCCTTAAAAGGGGAAAACATTGGCTCCTAAACTCCTTCCCACACACATAGCACCAGACTGCAGCTAGAACCAATTCTTCATCTCCTCTATCCTTCAGAGGACCCCTCCGTCCCACAACATGTATACAGAGTCTATTAAGCTTGGTGCAAAAATAATTGCGGTTTTTGCATTTAATGGCAAAAACCGCAGTAAATTTTGTACCCATCTAACACTTAGTGGAACATCTGTGTTTTAGCAGCTCTTGTTTCCTAACAGTTTTAGAACTGGCGACTTACTTGTTCCTACTACTTGCAGATGGGGGTAGTCAGGGAGGAAGAACCAGCCTTTCCAACAGCCACAGCAAAGGGCAACGTATTTCAGCTCCCCAAGCTAATAATCTGCATACGCGTTCCTCAATGCATGTTCATCCAATGTTGTGTGTGTAGCATCTTGTTATGTGTATAAACCACAATTTATTTGATGATACAATTTTATCTTCCGCTAATAAATACTTGGGTTGGGCTGGGGGACATCCCAACGCTTGGGTTGTTTCCAGTTCGAGGCAGCTATAAACATTTTATGAACTTAAAAAAATTTAACCTATTTTGAAATAATTTCAAACTTACAGAAAAACTGTAATAGTACAAAGAACACTTAAATACCCTTTACCCAGATTCACCAATTTTTAACATCTTGCCACATTAACTTACTCATGCTCTCTCTTCCCTTCCCCCACCCCAGAACACATATACACTCCTTCTGAATCATCTGAGAGCAGATAACATCCATGTCCCTTTACCCTATGGCATTTCAGAGTAACTCCCAAAAAGAACATTAACTTACATATACACATTTGTTATCAAACGTGGGAAATTTAACATTGATGATTTTATCTCATATAAAATCACATTCCAAGTTTGTCAACTGTCTCAACAATGTCCTATGTAGCAACTTCTTGATACAGGACCTAGGGTAGAATCATGCATTCTACTTTGTTGCTGTATTTCTTTTGTCTCCTATAATCTGGCATAGTTCTTCAGTGTCTTTTTGTCCCTTCCTGCTTTCATGCTACTGACATTTTTGAATACAGGTAGTTATTTTACAGACTGTTTCTCAATCTGGGTCCTTCTGATGCTTCCCTGTGATTAAACTCTGAGATTTTTGGTTAGACTACTACGTAAGAGGTATTATTCCTTTCTCAGTTCATACATACGGAAGCACACAATGTGTTTGCCTGTTTGAGGATTAGTCTTGATCACCTGGTTAAGGTATTGTGCATTTCTTCCACTGTAGACAGTTACTAACCTTGCTTTTGTAATTAATAAGTAGTGAGAGATACCACGAGACTGTGTAAATATCCTGCTCCTCATCAAGCTTTATCTCCTATATTTAGCATCCATTTTTGCTTGAATAAATTTTTGCTGTAATGCTTGTGAACTGGTGACTTTTAACTCCATATTCCTTCATTATTAGTCAGGATTCTAATATGAGGAAGTGCTTTTCCATCTTCTCATCTATCTATATGCCTATCTGTAATAGTCATCAGTATGGCTTCATGGAGTCTTAGTCAATGGGCTATAATCTATTACTGTCCTTAACCATTTTGATGGTCATATTGTCTTAGATTTGACCCTTTGGTGCCTGTTCAAGCTAGTCCCTGTGCCTTTTTAACATGCCCCATTTTTTTCAGTATTTGTTAATTTCTGGAACAGGCTTATCTCTTACCTTCCCTTTCAGCCAGTCCTTGTAATCTGTTGTTCCCTTTAGTAAGGAATGGTATTTAGAAACCAAAACATGGGATTTGGCTGTGTTCTGTATGCCTACTGGAGTCATACGGATTCTAAGCTCTGTGTGTATGCATGTGTGTATTGAAAATTGAGTTATGCTATTATATCCAAGCATAAGCCAACTCCGTAGGGTTTTCATTTGCCTTTCTCTATTTCATATCTCTACCTCCTTACTTCAACAGTGAGAACCCTGGCTACCAACATCAAAGTATTTATGAATGTGCTTAATTCTACAATACACTGAAAAAAATTCAGAAATTATAAAATAAACCTACTAAGAGAAGTTTGGGGTTTACTTTCTTTAAAAATTTTTTTTGTATATAAACTACTTGGGTTCATTCAAATTCATTCAAAATTTACCTGGATTCATCTCCCTCTTCAGTGTTATTTTATTATTTTTAAATTTTATTCAATTTCTCATTAGTTAGTTTGAATACATTTGTTGCTGTTTGCACTTGGTTTTAGGAGTTCCCCTCTCTCATTCTTGTTGATTTTACCTTTTAAATACAGACAATAACAACATGATTTTAAAGTCAAAACAATACATTCCCTACCCTGTGCCTTCTAACTTAGTCCCCCAGTTCTAATGTCCTCATACGGTCACCAATTTCATTTTTTTCTAGTTTATCCTGTGTTTCTTCTTTAAAAAAGCAAGCAGATAAATGCATGCTTTCTTATTTCGTCTTTACTGCTAAAAAGAAAGGTAACCTACTCACTTTGGGAGGCCAAGGCAGGCAGATCATGACGTTAGAAGATCGAGACCATCCTGACCAACATGGTGAAACCCCATCTCTACTAAAAATATAAAACTTAGCTGGGCGTGGTGACACATGCCTGTAATCCCAGCTACTCGGGAGGCTGAGGCATGAGAATTGCTTACACCAGGGAGCAAGAGGTTGCAGTGAGCCAAGATCATGCCACTGCACTCCAACCTGGTGACAGAAAAAAGAAAAAAAAAAAAAAAAAGGTGTACACTTTTGGGCTTTGCTTTTTTCATCTATACATGAGAAATAACTTCATATTAGTGCACAGAGAGGTCTTCCTCATGTGTTTTGACAGATAACAACCAAAGTTCATTTAACAATCTCCCATATCTGGTCATGTAGGTATTTCACAATATTTTACCATAAAATGTAATAGTGCAATGACTGTGCATTGTCAAAGGTGTATCTTCAGGGCAAATTCTTAGATGTGGAAATGCTGGGCAAATGGGTACACTGACATAACTTTGTTATTGTCAAGTACCCTTCCCAGTGGTTGCACCGTTTTGCACTGTCACATAGGAGTCCCTTTTTCCCATACCTTCCGGAATAGACTGTCAAGCTTTTGAATCCTGACAACCTGATAGGTGAGAAATGGTATTTTGGTGCAATTTTAATTTACATTTCTCCTATAGTGATAGTTGATTGTCTTTTCGTGTATTTGAGAGAGTGCTTTTCTATTTTTTCCTGTGAACTGCTTGCTGGCTTATGCCTTTTGCCCATTTTTGGTCTTTTCATCCTTCATTTAAAAAAACAAAATACTAGAGATACTAGCCTGTGATATATGTTGTGGATATTTTACC